GGGGTGGGGGGGGTTCGGGGAGCGGGCCAGCCCCGTGAAACGCCACCTAACCCTAACCCTACCCTCTGACCTGCGCCCTCCGCCCTCCCTGCAGGGCGGCGTCCTGGGCGTCCTCATCAACTGGGACTGTGACCTGGACCTCTCGGAGGCCCAGTGCAACCCCCAGTACTCCTTCCGGAGGCTGGACCCCAAGCACGCCGCAGCCTCCTCCGGCTACAACTTCAGGTGCCGGCGGGCCGGGGCCAGCAGGGGACGGCAGGGGCCAGCAGGGGACGGCAGGGGCCAGCCCCCGGGCTGCGGCCCCAGCACCGGCGCGGGAAGCCTGGACACGGCCCCTCGTCCCTTCCACCCTAGGTTTGCCAAGTATTACAACATAAACGGCACCGCGACCCGCACGCTGGTCAAAGCCTACGGGATTCGAATCGACGTCATTGTGCACGGACAGGTGCTGGGTGCTGGGTCCCTCCCTGCGGGGTGGGTCCCCTGGCCCCCCATGCCCATGCCAAAGGTCTAAAAGCAAGCCTGTCCTCCTCAGGCAGGGAGGTTCAGCCTCATTCCCACCATCATTAACCTGGCCACCGCTCTGACCTCCATTGGAGTGGTAAGGGGCCCATGTGTGTGTGCGTGTGCGTGCGTGTGCGTGTGCCCTTCCAGGCTCTTAAGCACTGGTGTCTGCTGGCCTTAGGGCTCCTTCCTCTGTGACTGGATCTTGCTAACATTCATGAACAAAAACAAAGTCTACAGCCGTAAGAAATTCGACAAGGTGTGTACACCAGGTCCGGAGGGCCAACCTCAGGACAAGGGGCAGAGCTAGGCCTGTCGCTACTGTGTCCCATCCAAGCAGATGGTGGACACTCTCGGCCAGCATGTACGGAAGACATGTTCCACCTGTGAGCACCCCCAACAGGACCCTGCACCCACAAACCCCAAAGGTTAAGCCCAACTCGGACCTGCCTGGGCCCAGTAGAGCCCAGAAACAGCCTTAGCTGCCCCGGCAGCTATGAGGACCTGCTCACCCCAGTAGCCAAGTGTCTCCATGTACGGGAGGGAGAGCCCTGTGGCCTCCAGGCGTGCCTTCCCCCCCTCCCTGCTCCCTGGGCCTCAAGTGAGAGCAGAGTGCCCCCCACCCCCACCCGTGCGCCCGGGCCTCCCATGTTTTATAACTGCTCAGACCTTTTCCTTAGCTGAAGCTCAGAATCCAATAAACATATGACAAAAGATCTTCTGGCTGCTTCTTGGGGAAAGCTATGACCCCAGGAGGGCATAATGCAGGGTGCACCTCTAGACAGGCCAAAGGGGACTGGGCAGACTTGGTGATGGAGAGTAGGCAAAGCTAAAGCCAGGGCTGGAGGACAGTCGGGTGCTGTGTCCTTGGCGGCTGCTGGTGGGTAATGCTGCCTGGGCAGACTGCTAGCAGCCCAGAACTTGGTTCCCAGGTGTGCTTCCCAGTGTGTGTTAGACTCCAGAAAGCGTCCCGTGTACCAGGCCAGAGCACCGAGTCTCAGGATGCCCAGTGGGAGCTCCTGGTCTTGACAGCAAGTGGAGTTTGCAGGTAGCTTAAATGCTGTCTCACACCACAGGTCACAAACACCTGATCTCTTTGGGTTTAACACGGGTATAGCTCTAGTTTTGCAGAAACAAGTCTCTCTAGTTGGATTCCTGGACACGGTTAGGCTCTGGTTTATTTCAGCGCCTCTAAGCTGGTCTGAGTGAACCCAGGCCTGTTGGCGCCAGGGCCTGTGCAGAGAGCCACTGGGCAGCCTTGTTGGCTCCCCTCCCCCATCCTCTCTGCTTCTGCTTCCAAGAAGCCTGGTGAGCCAGTGCCTTTCACCTCCCCTCACCGCCTGATTTGATCTGCGCTCCACTCAGAGGTCCCAGCTCAGTCCACATCCCAGGCAGGCTGGTCCTAGTGGTGTCCAATTTCTCCCCATAGATGCTTCTAGAGACTAAAGATCACAGTACAGACAACACTGGCATTCTAAGCTACTGCAGGGTCTTCCGAGTGAGCTCATGTTGTCTCTGTCTTCTGAATTTGTGATATACGCATTTATCTAGTGCCCTGCTAACACTGGCCTAGGCCAGTAAGGCAGTGAAGGCCAAGGACCATATTTAGCTGAAAGTGAGGCGTGTAGTCTCATTTCCTGAGGCTGATAAAGGGACCTGAGGGACCCCACAGGGACCAGGAGGGCTCATGGTAGCTACGTCAGCTACCAGGTTCAGCCCAGCCAGACTCCAGGCTTTACGTGGACGTATGGAGCAAGCAGACACCCCCTGTGACGGCTCTGAATGGGTCCAGAGACAATGAGAAGAAAACGTCTCCTGGTATCCCCCCCAGATTTTGGATCTGTACTTCCTGGGAAGTGACTCAAATCCTGTTCTCACAGGGCTGCAGAGAGGAAACATTTCTCCATAGAACAAGTGCGATTCCAGCTCCCGGAGGGGCACTTCGGCACCCGTCCTCATCCACTACCTTACCTCAGGCCCAGTCAGGCTCTGAATGAGGCAAGAGAGCTGGGATGGGGCCAGGGTATTCTGGAAGGACTTCCTGTCACCTAGCAGGGTACAGAAAGCAGATGCCTGAAGCACATTTATTTGTGGGAAAAGACCTTTTAGATGCGTCTTCCCTCCGCTCATGACGTCTGTTGATAGAGCCACTCCCTACTTCTGTGCTAGTTCGTGTCCCATCTGAGCTCCCTGCGTTGTTCATTGCCTGGACTCTGGAAAGTCAGGTGGTCAGGTACACAGCCACTTGGAACACAGGGTCCCTGATGCAGATGCCAAGATGTCCTCAGCGTGGGCTTGCTAAGAGTTGGACAGAGGACCTGTCTGCAGTAGCCACTCCAGGGTCTCCTGGAGGTATAACATGCCATAGTGCTGGGCAATGTTCTGGAAGATTCCAATTTGTTCCATGAAGATCTGTGGGAACAAAGAGATAGAATGATGCTGGTCCCACCTAGAGAGGAACAGCAAATAGCATGTATTCTAACAGAGAGCACCGCCCACCTGAGTGTGGATGGTGAGGGCGAAGTCCCCTGCACAGCTGCAGTACTCAGGCATATGGGTCTCCTTCACACCACGACACTTCAGGCAGATCTGAAATGAGGGACAGCACCGTGAGGCTCAGCTCATCATCAGTCTGGCCATGCTGTGGCCCTGGGGCTGTTGAGGAGGAGCACATCTCCTTGTGTAGTGGTTCTCTAATGGTGCCTGGGCATGTCCGGCAGGCTTTTGCTTAGGGGTCCACAGCAGGACTGCCTTGTGGCTGGCAACACTACTCTTCTGCTGCTCTCTTAACTGTCGCTGTGCTGTCTACTTCTCTCTACTGGATCAAGTGCCACGAGACTGCTTCTGCCCACAGTGCAGGTGCCAACAGACGTTGACAGGAGGAGTCGGCAGGGCACGTGGGCAAGAGCACTTTCCTGCAGCACTGGGCCCCCGAGCCCCGGCCCACTGAGGGAGCTTACAAGGTCCTGCAGAGTGAAGGCCATCAGCTTCCTCTGCAGAGCTTCTACCAGGGCTGACTCAATGGCAGCTGAGTCGTAGGCAGCCTGACAGTTGGAGCAGAACCACTGAGGAAGAACGGTTCCATCCTAGAGATCAGGGAGGGGTAAACGGTCAGCGTGCGGGGTGGACACACCACACACCACCACAGTTGGCAGCATTTCCAGTAGGGGGTGCTGGGGCCAAAGGAGAATCAGCACTTACGACTGCACCCATGCTGACCTTCATCACGCCAGCACTGGGGAACATGACAGCCAAGTGGCCAAGGGAAGGGAGCAGGTACAACTCACAGGGGTGAACACAACAGGCGCTGCATGGCTGCCCCACCTGTCTGCAGGCTCTGCCCTATCAGCAAGGGCCTGCCTCGGCTTTGCAAGTGCTGAGCCCAACCTGAGAGAAGGAGGCGTCTTTGCACAGGTCCAGGTCTCGGCAGAAATTACAGCTGTGGCAGATCACCTCGGGGAGCACGTAGGAGCGGCAAGGGTCTCTGAACTGCGCTTCCTCGGAGAACTCGCCAACGTCCACCAAGCGAAGCAAGTCTCTGCTCAGCTTGTTCACCTGGTTTGTGATGTTTGTGTCCAAAGACAGTACCTGTGAAGACCACAGCCTATCAGGGAGCATCGCCCAGGGCCCCCGTCCAGACTGCACCCCATCACACCCAGGCCCCCTCCTCCCCTCTCCCTGCCCTCCTTCCAGACTGCAATCCCTCCACCAGGACGCATCCCCCAGCCTCTCCCTGGGCTTAATTCGGACTGGAGCCGCTCTGTAGGCTCCTTGTTTCTCAGTATCACTTAGTTTCTTCTTCAAACCCCTTGGACTATCAGGGGCCACTGTTTCTATGTAGTACAAGTTCCCTGCTGGTGGATGGAGGATTCACTACGGAATTTACCATTTATCAAAAGAGACACCACTTAGTCTACACAGTATCTTCCAGAAATCAAAGAGTAGGGGACCCCGACTCATCCTACAGGCACTAGCCATAAACACTGGCAGAACTCACCAATATACAAAAAAGTACGCAGTTCAGAAACTGACCCGCACAGAAACGGACAACCAAGTTTTGAAAATGATGCAAAGATCCTTCAGTAGAAAAATCTGGAATCCTCAGCTTACGGCACGCACATAGCAAAAAGATGAATTAAAAATGGACCACTGACTCAGGGTAGAACCCAAAATGATAAGACTTAAAGAAGAAAACTAGGAAAAAAATCTCCGTGCCCTTAAAGCCCAAACTACTGAGACATGACACCAGAGACATATATAATAACATAAAGGAATATATAAGGGACTTTCAAAATACAAAACAAAACCACAAAGAACTTTCAACAGCAAGAAAAACAAAGGGGCAAAAGTGTAGCTTAGTGGCATAGCACTTGCGAGTGTGGGCAACGTCCTAGTTAGATCCCAGCAACATAAACACAAAAACTCCCCCAATTTTTAAAAATGGAGAAAAGATTTGGACAGCCACCCAGGAAAAATTATGCTCTGCACCATTATGCATCAGGGAACTACAAATCAAAGCCATGAGATTCTACTACACAACTATTGGAATAGCTGAAACTTAAAGCCGTAATAGCATGCTCTGGTAGAAGGCATGGAACTCTAATCATATACTGCTTATGAGAGTACAGCACCGCAGCCACAGCAGAAAAGTCAAAGTCAAAATACACTTTCCATACTACTCGGCAGTATGGGGGAAAAAAACCCACTGAAATTTATGTCTACACAAAGACTTATCCGTGATTGTGTATCGTATCTTTGTCATTAGTTATCAAAAAGTGCGTATAATTGATGTCTTTCCCCTGGAGAAGGGGCCAGTGCGGGCGCTCCTGTACCACACACTACCACGCAGCAGGAGGTGGCCCACGAGTGCATTCTGCAAGGGGAAGAAGTCTACATAAGGTAGGGTACGTGCATATGACATTCAGCATCTGAGCCCTGAGGGGATCAGGGCTCATTCAAGTGCAGATAGTTCTGCAGCATGACACGGCAGTTCCACCCGCTCTGAAAAGCCTGCAACTGTGACTGTGACACAGAGGACAGATCAGAGGCTGCCAGGGACTGAGGGACGAGTAGGAAATGCTCTACCTCTAGATTCTGGTAGAAGGAGTGGTCATGTGCCTTGTCAATCTCACAAATGAACAACTATTTTAATAAAAATAAAGCATTTTAAAGCAAATGGGACTTAACAGTGAGCTGAGAACGAACCAACCTACCTTTTTTTCCTTTTCCTCCCTCCCCTTTCTTTCTTTTTTGGAAGTACTGAAGTTTGAACTCAGGACCTTGTATTTGCTAGATCGATGGTTTAACATTGAGCTACAACCTCTGTGCTAGGCACATTTCTTCCCCACAATCAAACCTTAAGCAGTCACATGATCTTTAGCAATCAGGTGTGAAGGCTGAGCCGTTCGGGTGGCGTGATGGCCAGTCTACGCG